TTCTATACATAAAGGGTAACTTATTCACAAATGCGTGAGTACAGGCGTGTGAGGCAGTATGTCTGGCCTCACACTTTGTTATTCACATTTACGTGGGAGGTATTCGCACATTGCGTATTTGGTTCTGTACATGAGAATTGATATAGTTACTAAGTGCAAAAAAGTGGATACAATCTTAATATGTCGGCTATCTTCATTAGAGATGAAGTGTTGTGCCATTTCACACACAGTGTGCTTGGACCTGTCCCTAAAAGGTTCTATCTTCACACAGTCGAGACGTAGAGCTATGTGTGGCCATATGTATGGCCACACTTTACATTTAGTTTTGTTTACATCTGCTTGAGGAACATACTGCCAAAGGTACTTATATCCTAACCTTAATCTAGCGGTTACAACATCTTGTAATCTAGTGATCTTGTTACTTGCTCCATATACATGTTTCACTTGATACATCTCATCATGGTAACCTATGGATCGACTAGTATCTGTTTGCACTTGTCTACTTGCGTCAAACTCATCAATAAGTTCTTTCCTAATTACAGTTTTAAGGGTTCTTTTTGACAGACCCAAATTGTATTCAACGGTGTCTTTTGTTAGACGCGAGTTTGGCGAGGGCATCAACTCCGTCATGTTTTATGAGGCCTATGTGAGAGGGATCCCTAACAGTTTGACCCTGACACCCTGGTCAACAAGGCACGCATTTGTGTCTGGCTTCAGAGACAAGAGCGTGACAACCGAGTCGAGGGTACCAAGGGCAAGTAGTGAGAATAGAGAGTCAGTGATGATGAGACTGTCAGTAACAGTGGTTTCAATGAATTTAATAGCTGTGAGTATGGCAACTAATTCAGTTTGTAGAGTGGATGCCCAGTTGTTAATTCTAACTCATTTCTCAATAATAATACCGTCAGGTTGAGTCACAACAATAGCACTTCCAGCCTCCCACAGGCGGTGTTAGAGATCCATCAGTGTAGATGGTCTGTGTGATATTATCATCAGTCTGTAGAGTGTGTATGTGTTCAAGAGCTCTCAATTTGGCAGTGTGTTGGAGATAAATGCTTTGTATAATTAATTTTTAGGCGGATACGTCGGTATTGTGATATCGAAGGAACTGTCCGCCAGGGGTGGCAGGAAGCGCTGTTGTGTCTCAACTTTGTACAGGTGGTCTAGTCCAAACATCTTCATATGTAGTTGTAGTTTGGATCCATTAGACTCAGTAGTCCCATGGTTCATACATTCTAGCAATTTTAAGGAAACAGTGTTATCAGGACCACCACGCAGAAGCCTCAGGGCTATCATGAGGTTGACTTCAATTATTCTATCTTTAACACTGGGTATACCTAGTTCTTTCCTCATATTAAGTACTTTAGTGCTCATGGGACATCCTAGGATAATTCTGAGGGCTTTGGGAGGTATCAGGAGGGTTGGTAAATAACTTAACAGTTGACGTGGCTGCTGCCAGAGCAATGCCAGGTACGTCTTGACCCTTCGGTGGTCAAGGATGTAGTGTGTGTGTGTGTGTGTGTGTGTTTAATAATAATATTTATTATAAATAATAATAATAATAATTATAATAATAATAATAATAGTAATAATAATAATAATAATAGTAAATAATAATAATATTGATAAAAATAATAATAATAATAATAATAATGTTGATAATAATAATATTAATAATAATAATAAAAATATTAATAATAATAATAATAATAATAATAATAATAATAATAATAATAATAATTAAAGGTTTATTGAAAGAACAGGGTAGCCAGAAGGCTGAAAATATACAAATAAATAATAGGGAAATATGTCACTTGATTGACAAATAATTTACAAGTAACATAAGATAAATATTATATACGAGTATAGTAACAAGGTGGGGACGTGTGTGTGTGTGTGTATTCATGGGTTTCATATGTATGCTGCCTTCCCTTAACCTCCCTCCCATTCCTCCCTTTTCCTCCTGTTTCTTGTCTTTCCTTACATTCCTTTCCTCTTCCTCCCATAGATTCCTCACCCTTTCACCCTTCCCTTCCTCTCCCAGTACTTAAGAAATTTTTCCTTCTTCCCTCCTCTTTCTCCTTTTTTCCTCCTCTTTCTCTTTCTTCTCTCTTCCTCTTCTTCCTTCCTTATTACGCTCCTCCTTCCTTTCATTATTCCTTCTACTCTGGCATCATTCTTGTTCCTCCTCCCCCCTCCTTCGTATTTCCTCCTCCTCCCTCCTTCCCTCATCTTTTCTCCATCTTTATTTTTACCTCCTTTCCTTCCTCTTATTTGTTTCCCTCTACTCCCCGTCTTCCTGTCACTCTCTCGTCCTCCTCCGTCTTTCTCTACTCCTCCCTCCTATTTCCCCCCTTCTGCTCCCTCCTTTCTTCCTTTTCTTCTTTTGTTCCACTTCTTCCTCTCTCCCTCTCTCCATCAATCCTTCCTCTCCCTTTTCTCGACCTCTGCCCCCTCTTTCTCTCCATCTTCGTCTCCATTTCCCTTCTATCTCCACCTCCCTTCCTTGCTCCCTCTCCTTACTCCCTCCCCTACTCCCTTCATACTCTTTTTGATTGCCGTCCAGAACAAAACATAGTCAATTATTGCCCCCAACAGATTAATGGACGAACTTAAATAAAAACACGGCGATTAACTATATTTTAAGTAGTTTTCTATTTTTTAGCAAATTATCTCTAAAGTTTAAATATTTTCACTATATTTTTCTATATAATGTAAATATATTTTCTAGATTTTAAATAATTCCTCCTCACAATTAAAGTAACTATTCCCTAAATCTTATGGAATATCTAATCAGTCAAATTTATTTACGTGAGAAACAGGAAGTATTTATCTTCTTTAAAATTAGATTTAACGTGAAGAAACAACTTTAATACATTTTAACGAAGAATGGATTTACTTGATCTTAGTGACAAATTTATTCAAAAACCTTTTCTTATTTAATATTTTTACTTGGATGAAATTCAGTAGTAATAATAATAATAATAATAATAATAATAATAATAATAATAATAATTCATACGTTTTGGTATAAAATGATATAGACAGAAAATTTACAGTTACATAATTGGGGAATGGGTTTCGATTTACAAATAACATACAAGTAACATAAGTGATACAAATAAGATATATAATAACTTGGTGGGGAAAAGCTCAAACTACAGGGAATTTCAACATAGTGACAGTGCAAAAAGTAGGATTTACTGGGAGTGAATACACTGGTTTATTAGAAGTTATTGATAATTTTTACAATGGTTGGGACTGGGCTGTTCTTATAGCGATCAGTTCGTGCTCGTATGGGCTGGATGCAATTCTCGGGCTAGGCATCTCAGGTGGTAGTAGGAGCCGGTGTCGAGGATGGTGCAGAAGGTTCGCACCAAATTTGCAGATGAGGTCGTGGTGATGGTCAGTGAGAGTCGAAAGGGTTAATGTGTTGAGCGCTTCTTGATATATGGAGTAGGAAGGGGAGAGAAGAATCTTGCATGCCCTCTTTTGCACTTTTTCTAGGTGTTTACGTTGTGTGGCATTTAGGGAGGAAGACCAGGTAGGGGAGACATAGGTGAGCTTGGGAAGTATGAATGTTGAGTAAACACTGAGGAGCTCGGGTGCAGGAACTCCTGGGACTTGAGTCGGCGGAGGAGGTGGAGGCGGAAACTGGGGGATTTGACAACTTCACTGACGTGTGGTTTCCAATTTTGTTTGTTGTCTATGGTGACGCCGAGGAGCTTCGTGGAATCTACAACCTGGAGTGTGTTCGGACCTAAGGTAATGGAAGGAGGTGGGACAATGTCGGAGGAGAGGTTGATGTGCATAACCACGGTCTTGGTATGGTTGATGGTGATGTGGTTGTTGGTGGCCCAGTTTTGGAGACTGTTCAATAAATCCTGAAGGGCGGTATAGTCGGGAGCACAATTGTTGACTCTAATCCCAATGGTGGAGTCGTCGATATATTTCCAGCGAGGAGGGGTTTCTCTTAGGGCATCATTGATAAGCTTAAGGAAGCATAGTGGTCCCATCTTGGTGCCTTGGGTGACGCCACAGGTGAGTAACTGAAAGGTGGAGACAGCCCCTCAGAAGCGTACAGCTTGGCGTCGGTCACTGAGGAAGTCTGTAAGCCATGGTATGAGACTTCTTCGAAACCCGAGGTCAATAGCTTTGTTGATGATTAAATTGTGGTCGACTAGGTCGAATGCTTTAGTGAAGTCAATATAACATCCTCCCCCGTGTAGTATGATATAATAAAAAAATGAAACTTTTAATATAACCTCATATTATTTCTTCTATGACGGGCAGACCAAAGTACCATGTGCACCTTAAAACTAAAGGGACATAATCACTAGATTTTGATATTTTTTTGTGACTGATGTAGAGTATGTATTGACCTAACGTAACCTAACTACACCTATGCTAGCCTAACCTAACCTAAACAACAACCTAACCTAACTTAACCTCCCCTGACGAAACCTCCCCTGACGAAACCCCTACCGAAACTATGCTAACTTGACCTGACCTAACCTAACCTAACTTAACCTAACCTAACCTAACCTCACTTAACCTAACATAGCCTAACCGTACCCGACTCTACTCGGTATTACTGCAACTGTTAATACCAACCGAATCTCGAGAATTTTAACTTCGCAATGAATAGTTCAGACAATTCAAAGACATTCTTTTTTCTGACGTTTCCCTCGTAAACGACCTGTAATAGGCCGAGGGGTCTCCGGTTATGAGGTTAGGTTCGGTCGTTGGGGAGGGAAACATCATGGAAGAAAAGTGTCTTAGAATTTTCTGAAATATTGATTGCAAAGATATAATTCTCAAGATTTATTTGGTGGTAACAAATGCAATTTTAACCTATACCCTACCATACCGTACTATATCCTAATATAATCTAACTTTACCTAAGCTAAATTAACGTTTGGGTCTATTAATCCTAAGGTAAAAACAGGTGGTGGGTTAATCTTCAGGTAACCCACGTAATTGTATTGGATCTCCTTCAGGGACCTATCCGGGACCTCCATCACCTCCCTGCCAACCCTAGGACTAAATGGCCTGGAGTTTCTGTACCTGGTGAATACTCCCAGCCTCAAGGTGTTCCCGTCTGTCTACTCCTTTAAGACCATCAAGCAAGCGAACCTAACTTACCCATACCACTGTTGCGCTTTCCAGTTTCCCGAGCAGCACGACCCGGAGCAGTACATCAAATACCAGGTAAGAGAGCTTAGGAGATATATGATAATATGGGCAAAACCATTTTGTATCTAGTCATTCTATCTTCTTCCTTGATTCCCTCTTTCCTTTCCTCCCTCCTGGTTAATATTTCGTAGTGGCCATGCACGGAACTTTCTATTGATTGTTATATAGGGAAAAAATAAATATTTTACAGCGTTTCCGTCAGAAATTTATAGTTTGGGAATTATTTTACTTTTCGATTTCACTTACGAGAGTACAAGTTCGCTGGGTTATAAATTGTTTTCTACTTACTCAGTCAATCAGCAGAAGTGTCAATGTCACGTGAAAGTCGTGCGCTTTTTGTTTCAAATTCAGGTTTGGTTTCTTTAGGTTTCTTTGCGTTTTCTTGTGTATTGTTGGGTTAGGTTAGATTTAAACGCCTTCTGGCATCACTGGTTAAGTTAGGTGAGACATGTATACTGATATTTTTTTTAAATTCATTATGGTCGGAGGAATGTTTGTATATGGAAGTCCGCTTGCTAAATGGACTGATGAAAAAACAATATATATATATATATATATATATATATATATATATATATATATATATATATATATATATATATATATATTTATATATATATAAATATATATATATATATATATATATATATATACGTTTCTAGCTGGATTCTGTAAAATGCTACGCCGACCACATAGTTGCTTCGGGCAATCCCTAATGGAGGTTCACGGCGCTTAAAGCACGATGGACAGGCTTTGTGTGGAATATAACAAAGCCTAGGATTGCTTGTGTTGTTCTTGTGGAGTGGTAGTAGCGATACCTGTTTACTGGGGGTCAGGGTTCGATTCCCAACTAGTGAGGTATTATATATATATATATATATATATATATATATATATATATATATATATATATATATATATATATATATATATATATATACTCCCCATATACTACACAGTATATGGTCACTATGAAATTATAAACCTCCCTCTTTCTCTCTTGCTCACCACACTGTTCATGTGTGCTGAACTTTGTTTTCTTACCTCCTTTATAAAAAAAATATGTCCTCATCCTTACCTCATACCATCTCATTCCTCCTTCATGCCACCACCTTAACGGTTACTCATGTCCTCCTGCAGAACTTTAAACGTAAGATGGAACAGAAGTTTTGCTCTGAAGTGACGTCGCCAAGTTCTCATGTGATGATTTCCGCTACCCGCCCACGACGCCGTCGCCGCCACGTCACGCCGCCCATGGGGATTCCTCAGGACCTAGGTGGTAGCCGCCGTATTGGTGCACTCACGCCGCCCACGGATGAGCCTCAAGGGGCCAGGGCGGCCTATACCTGTGGAGGTCATCCTGGAATGGTCAGGTTACGGTAATAAAGGCGAGAGATGGGGAGGCGTGCCATCAGGTGTCACTGGTACTGTATTTGATCTCTCTGTCCCGTCTAACACGATGAAGTACAGTGACGAAAACAGAAATGAGCAATACAGAAGTTCGGAGAGATCCCAGACGTTCCTTGCCGACCCCAGCCCAAGGGAGACAGATCTTGACCTACAGCAATACTGGAAGACGATATGGCTGGGCACCGCACCAAATCTATATTTTGGGAGGTTCAGCTCATCTTAGGACCCGTCACAATGGTCATCACAGTCGCTATATCAAAGCAAAAATCGGATCAAACTCGGATCAGGAGGATGTGAGGACCGCTCTGACAGGATATAACTTTGAGGGCCTGAAGAGTCGGCCTCGTCGCGGCGACCACTCACAGCTCAGGAGACTTCCTGGTGGTGGAGACGATGTTCACCAACTTCCTCCTGACACCACAACAACAGCGGACAGCAGCGCTCATCAGAGACCCCGTGAAGGAACTTATCCCTCTGCCAGATAAGAGATTCGATGAAGGAGATGGATCCTACCCTCATCAAGATGAAAGCTATTTCGGGGGTGGTGCACTAGGAGATGTTCATGGCCCCTTCCTAGGCTTCGGGTCTTTCAACCACACACCAGGAAGATACGTACCGGAACCTCCCAGAAGCAGTAACTCATCATCTCGAGGCTGGGAACACGACCAGGTGAGTCATTTTCCTGTCTTAATCACTATGCCATCAGTAATTAGTTACGTGGGTTCCAACTTATATATTTGACGCAAGATTATCTTCCATTTATTATTTACTCAACCTAATAAAAGATTGGCTTCTCGAAAAAATGAGAGAGAGAGAGAGAGAGAGAGAGAGTGTGTCTTGTGAATAACTAAGAAAGAAATAACAGTCATACCACACTATCACACATCCACACACCTCTCATACACTCTACTCCCAGCTATTACAACAATTATCACTTCCTGGACAAGAGGGAACGTGAATGTTGGTAATGTGTGTTAATTACTACATTGATTATGCCTGTATCAGGTAAATGGTGAGGGTAAATTTGGTCAGAATACCGAGACTAGGAAATGGAGGTGAGGCGATAAACAAAGGCATCTCTCTCTCTCCTATTTTTCATTTCTGCTTTTATTATCTCATTTATTCTTTTTCTCTCGCTCAGGTATATTTCTCTGTCAGTTTATTTGTCTGTTTGTTATCCTCTCTCTCTTCTCTCTCTGTGTCTTTACTATCTCTCTGTTTGTCTGTTTTTTTTCCTCTCTCTCTTTTCTCTCTGTGTTTCTATCCGTTCATTCTTTTCTCCATTTTTTTCTTCCCTACCCCTCTCTCATTTTCAGTCAACCTATACGAAACTCGGAGTACTAAAGATGTGTGAATGTGAGGAGAGAGCGGTAAGAGAGACAGGGAGAAGATAAGGGCTGGGAAGAGTAATGATAGAACAAGGAGTGGGAAGAGGAGTGAAACTAACAGGTGTAGGAGGAGAAGAAGTAATGAACGAAGAGAGAGAGAGAGATCAGGTACAACTTAACGGTTAACAAATTTACTGGCAAAGCTTGTATAGTTTTCCTATTCTAAGTAATTCAGTCAGGTCTTGACTCTGAGGGTGTTATCACTTCTCACTGCCACGCAGGACAGAGGTTCATACACAAAGAAATAGATCATATTCATTAACAGTTTACATACTAGGTCAGAGTCATGTGTGGTGTAGATCACTGTTCACTGCCACGCAGGACAGTGGTCTATACAATAGAAGTCATTTTCTATTTGAGGACTTATCAGTGTGGGCTAGCAAATTTTGGATAAACAGCAAGAATGTCCTCAAGCACTCCTGATTCGACGTAGTAATTACATAGTTCATGATACAATAAGCCAGGTGGCCTGAAGTCTTTGACAGCATCACATTCAATAATACAATGTCCAAGTGTATGCTTTAAAGGTTTATCACAAAGTTTACATGCTTAGTGTTCAGGTACAGCGTCACTAACATGCCAGATAGTCTGTATCCTAGCCTAATTCTGGCCACGAGTACATCACATTTTCTGGTTTTGTCCTTATGCTGGACATACCGGTACCTCTTGTCACAGAATTTGTCATATTTACTAATGCTACAACTGCCAGGTCTCTGCATTTTTCAATTCTTCTCGATCAGAGTTCATGATTTTGACTTGAATGTTTTTCAGTACAGCATTGGACAGGCCAAGGTCACGGTCAACATTTTCTTTCTTACATGCCTCATTGGCGAGTCTATCAGCACGGCCATGATACCTAATTCCAACGTGGGACGGAATCCACACAAATTCAATACGAATGTTGTTCCCTTAGCAGTTATCACATTTACCCTGTATTTTAATATCACAAACAACTTTAGACATAGAACCTGACGGTCTGTTCATTGATTTCAAAGCACTTTGGGAGTGAAATATCACCCACCTCCATTTTCTTTAAGGTAGTCTGTAACTAAGTAGATTCCCATTAGTGATCAGGTATTAGGATGTAAAGATCCAGAATAAGAGTGAAAAATGCATAAGAAGTGGAGGAAGTAGAGGAAAATAGAAACAAGAAGGAAGCGAAGAATTAGAGAAGAAGGAAGGATGAAGAAGTGGTGGAATGAATTGAGTTGAATTGAATTGAAACAGTTTATTTAGCCAGAAAAACACAGATACAGAGTGGATGATAATAACAATATTAACATGGCTGAGCCAGTTGAGAACCTAGGCTCTCTTTTAGGCACCTGATATATACTATATTATCTCAAGGAAGTACTATGTAACATATAGTATCATCTGGAATAGTACAATAGCATGGTGGTAATAAGAACATCTCATAATGTTACGGTTATCACTTCATTATTTATTTATTTTATGTACAGTATTTATTAAAAATTTTTTAGTTTATTATTTTTATTTTTATTATAAGCATAAACATAAATTACAGTGGAATTGAAAACATAAGTATAATCGGGAACAGTACAACATGGGTTGTACATTGTACAATGTTAAGATTGAACAAGAGGACAGAGCTGTCAGGATTATGTCTAGTTGGCAAATATGTTTATTGCAATGGTAATTTCTTATCTATTTACATTATAATTTCCGATAAAACGGTTTTGATGGTACAATAAAAGCAGGTGCTGTAAATATAGTAGGTTATACAAGTAATATTAATACCTAGACAATAGATATTTTTTAAAGATGATTTAAAGGCGTAGTCTTTGCTCGGATGGGTGGGGGGTTGTTCCCACATGTTAATTTTATATTAGAGGTCTGGGACTGAGAAGAGCGCATTGGGGGGGCGTCTTAGTAGCTTTGGGGCCTTGGTTGTATCTCTGATTATTCGGAACTGGAAATAATTATTGTCAAGCAAGTGATTGATAGATTTGTAAACAAAGAGGCACAGCAGTGGGTGTTAATATCTTGAATTTTGGAGGGCTATCAGGAAAGGGAATGAGAGAGGGAAAAAGACAGGAGTAAAGAATTGTTAGAGATGAAAGATCATGACATGGAACAGAGAGAGAGAAAACTTACAAAGGTCACACACACACACACACACACATTGTCAACCATAACCCCTCCAGGGTCTGACCAACACGGCCTTAGACTTGGAGGGCAACCGGCATCTACGGCCTCCTCAGAGCTCACGATGGTAGCAGTCTTGGTATCCTGGCAAAAAAAGTATTCCACTATCTGATGGTGACTTCCTACGCCTTGAAGAGGGTCGCAGGGTGAGATCATGAGCGAGTTGAGAGTTCTTAGTCTTAGCAGCAATGGATTTTTATATGGGAATAATGGGGAATATATTTTTCTCTACTAGGTAGGTCTCTTGTCTCTTTATAGGTAGGTCTCTTATTTCTTTATAAGTAGGTCTCTTGTGTCTTTATAGGTAGGTCGCTTATCTCTTTATATGTAGGTCTCTTAATCTCTTTATAGGTAGGTCTCTTGTCTCTTTATTGGTCTCTTGTCTCTTTTGAAGGTAGGTCTCTTGTCTCTTTAAAGTTGGTCTCTCTATCTCTTTTATTAGTCTCTTGTCTCTTTAAAGGTGGGTCTGTTGTCTCTTTATAGGTGGGTCTCTTGTCTGTTTATAGGTAGGTCTCTTGTCTCTTTATGATGAGGTCTCTTCTCTCTTCTCTGGTCTCTCTTCCTTGGGTAGGCCTCTTGTCTTTTAAGTAGGTCTCTTGTCTTTATAGGTGGGTCTCTTGTCTCTTTAAGGGGTGGGGTCTTTGTCTCTTTATATTTGGTCTCTTGTCTGCTTTATAGGTCTCTTGTCTCTTCTTTAGGTGAGCCTTTTGTCTCTTTAGGGGTCTCTTGTCTCTTTATAGCATCTGTCTCTAAGTCTCTTTTCTCTTTAAAGGTGGGTCTCTTCTCTTTTAAAGTGGGTCTTTTTATGTGTTATACATGTGTCAAGTTAAATTCCCACCTATCCTTCATTCTCACTCATCCTTCACTTACACTCATCCTTCACTTTCACTCATCCTTCACTTTTACATACCCTTCACTCACACTCATACTTCACTCCTACTCATCCTTCACTACCCATCCTTCACTCACACCCATCCTTCACTCGCACTCATCCTTCCCTGACGTTCATCTTTCACTCACACTCATCCTTTAGTCACACTCATCCTTCAAATTCCCTCATTCTTCATCCTCACTCATCCTTCACACTCATCCTTCCTCCTCCTCCTTCCTATATCCTTCACACTCACTCTTCCTTGCTCCTCTTCTCACTCATCCTTCATTCTCACTCATCCTTCCTCCACTCATCCCTCCACTCCTCATCCTTCCTCCTTCCTCTACTCTCCTTCCACACTCATCTCCTCCTTCTCCTTCATTCTCTCATCCTTCACCTCCTCATCCTTCCCTCCTTATCCTCCTCATCTCTCATCCTTAACTCCCTCATCCTTCCTTCTCCTTATTCTATCCTTTCACACTCACTCATCCTTCACACTCACTTATCCTTAACACTCACTCATCCTTCATTCTCACTCATCCTTAACTCACACTCATCCTTCACATTCCCTCATTCTTCATTCTCACTCATCCTTCACACTCACTCATCCTTCACACTCACACATCATTAACACTCACTCATCCTTCATTCTCACTCATCCCACTCGCACTCATCCTTCACATTCCATTATTCTTCATTCTCACTCATCCTTCACACTCACTCATCCTTCATTCTCACTCATCCTTCATTCACACTCATCCTTCTCTCACAATCATTCTTCACTCTCACCTACTTCACTCCCACTCATCAGTAATTCTCACTCATCCCTCACTCTCACACATCCTTTATTCTCACTCATCACTCACTCTCACTCATATTTCACTCACAATCATTCTTCAGTCTCACTCTTCCTTAACTTACACGCATCCTTACTCTCCAATCTTACTCTCACTCATCCCCACTCCTCACACTTATTCTTCAGTCCACTCATCCTTAACTCACACTTTTACTCATACTCATCCTTCACTAACTTATTTCAGTCCACTCTTCCTTAACTTACACGCATCCCTCACTCTCACACATGCTTTACTCTCACTCATCCTTCACTCTCACTCATCTTTCACTCATAATCATTCGTCACTCTCACTCATCTTCACTCTCACTCATCTTCACTAACACTCAGCTTGTTTCCTGGCCGCAGCATACAGTGTCTCAAAAATATGTAGACAAGTTACATTCACACAGAATTAATTCATTACATTCTTTTCCTTTTCTGATGTCACATCTAACTCCAACTAACCAAACCTAACCTAACCTAACCAAAACTAACCTAACCTAACACCTTACTTCCTCTACCGTCACAACAAACGTCATTAAAGTCAACAGCATATTGTTAAAGTAATTTATCTCTCTCTCTCTCTCTCCAGACCAAAGTGAAAAACACGACCATGATAGTCAGCTGTGGGGAGCTATCCAAGGACTACCACAGTGTGCTGTGTGTGCCGGAGCCGGATGCTTTTAACCCCTGTGAGGACATTATGGGTAACCTGGCTCTTCGTGTGGCTGTGTGGCTGGTAGTGATCACGGCTGTCCTTGGCAACCTGGCTGTCATCATTGTCCTCATCTCCTCCAAGTTCAAGTAAGATTAACCTGCTACAACAGTAATTAAAACCATCTGCTGGGTTGTTAAGATCACCTGCTGGATTGTTACGATCACCTGATGAGTAATTAAAACCAACTGATGGGTAATTAAGGTCATGTGCTGGTTATTAAGACTGACTACTAGGTCATTAAGATCACTTGCCAGGTAACTAAGATCATCTGCTTGGTAATTAAGATCACCTGCTTGGTAATTAAGATCACCTGCTGGGTAATTAAGATCCCCCGTTGAGATCTTTCCATCTTTCATACTTCAGGTAAGTTAGTCTGATTTATCACGTTTTATTAAAAATAATTTGGATTTAAAATATAATCACCTGGGCTTAAAGGATTATAACTTTAATATAAAAGATTAGCACTGGGACTTAAAAAGACAATCACTTAAATCTTAGAGAGTACCATCACAAAGTTTTACTCCTCGCTTTTACTGACTTCACCTAAGTTCTGGGAGAGTAAATAGACTTTCTCGTAGCCTTCAGGTTCAGGGCAAATTAACTGCTACTCCTTCACAGTGGTTCAGTTCCAAGAATAAATTTGATTGCAGTCACATTAATCTCAGTATCTGGTGAGTCTTGATAGACGTCGAGGTTAGGTTAGGTTAGGTAACGTTAGGTTAGGTAAATGTGTGTTAGGTTAGGTTAGGGTAAGGTAGGGTAGGTTAGGTTAAGAAAAGACACTGCGACAGCTGAGCTTAGAGATGGTCAAGTCTACTGAAAAGGAAGAAGAGGGTTATTAGTCTTGAAAAAAAAAATATAATATATATATATATATATATATATATATATATATATATATATATATATATATATATATATATATATATATATATATATATATATATATATATATATATATATATATATATATATATATATATATATATATATATATATATATATATATATATATATATATATATAGTGTTAGGACAGGCCAGGAATCCAATGCTCTGTTTGTTCATTTGAGGGATAACAAGCATTGCATTGACATAATGCCTCCTCAATATTACCTTGTAATTCAATTGATAGTAGGAACATCATAGAATCTAGTCTCATTAAACATACCGAAGCAGTCAACATGAATTTGAGTAATGGCATGTACAAACTGGACAATTTTGTAATTAAGAAGATTTGTAACCAGGAGAAGGTTGGGTCACCTTACCTCTGACCTGACTACCGACTGCTGTCGTGCTATTTAAAAGATTAGTAGGTTCATTCCACCTGACCATTAGGACCTGGTCTCACCCTCCTCTGTATATATATATATATATATTTATTCTGTAACCCCTGAAGATGAAAAAACGAAGTTCCTAAGGCTGTGTAATTCTCCTATATCTTCAGGGGTGAGTACAGAGAGGGAGAGAGAGAGAGAGAGAGAGAGAGAGAGAGAGAGAGAGAGAGAGAGAGAGAGAGAGATTTTTCAGATTATACGAGGAGGACACAAGAAAGACGAGACAGCAGGTAAGGACCAAAAGATCAAAACTAAGCAAAACAAAAGAGCATCGTGGAGGGAGAGAGAGCAGGAGAGTGTTGTGATTGGCTGACGAGAATCCAACCAGCCTTGCGAAGAGCTTTTCAGAATATTGCATAATTTACATTTTCCTCGGACAAGATTTCAAGCCTTCTTTTTTTTTAATCTCAAATAACTTAAATAAAAAACTTAGTTACCGGCTTTTGTGTATTAATTTTACTTACTGCTGTTTAGACCTCTGCTAGATGTTCGCTTGACTCTCATGGTTTAATTCTCCTAACCTGTTAGTATTACACGTTTTTTGGCATTAGTTATCATATCTCTCTCTTTCTCCATCTTTAATCCCACAACTTTTTTGATATGTATATGTTTTTAGTGATATATTTTTTGAATGTTATTATCTCTGTATTTACCAATGTTTACATATAATAAAAAATTTCTCTTATTTTTCTGGTGATCATTGTTCTTGTTTTTTTTAGAAATTCTCTATACTGTATATTTATTAATTACTGTGTCAACATAATATCTCTCACTGTACTAAAATATTATCGTTGTTTTATAATTGGTTTAACTCTTGCCTAATTTTCTCTCTTGTGTCCTTAAGGTGTTTTTTGAGTTAATCTTAAATGATACTATTGTCCCATTTTGTTCCTGTTTTCCTGAGTGTCTGTAAAGTGTCTTAGTCTCTCTTCTATGTGCACTTGACAGTTTCCTTAACCTTTATCATTGAAATTTTCCTGGATATTTTCCTTCCAATATCAAAGCACCACTGTCATAATCTGGTCCATATGAAGACACAGTTCAAACAGTTCATAGATATGTAGTAACGCACAGTTCATTAGTAGTTAGTAATGCACAGTTCGTTAGTAGTTAGTAACGCACAGTTCATTTGTAAGAATTAACACCCATTCATTTAGTAAGTAGTAAGAACTAATGCACAGAACATTAGTAGATAGAACGCATAGTTCATTAGTAGTTAGTAACGCACAGTTCATTAGTAGTTAGTAACGCACGCTCATTAGTAGTTAGTAACGCACAGCTTAGTAGTAGATAGTAACGCACAGTTCGTTAGTAGTTAGTAACGCACAGTTCATTCATAGATAGTCACTTACATTTTATTAAGTAGCTATTTAGTGTAGAGGGAGTGCACTTCTCACTCTTCATATGATGCTTCCATGAGCTTTTTACATTATGCTCAGTCGTCATGCGTAGAACTAGCAGATGATTTACACACACACACTCACACACACACACACACACACACATCCATGGCATACAGGTATATACATCACCTCACACCATCATAATTTTTTTTTTTAGCATTCATAAATGCTCACAATCACCATAAATCATCACTGACATATATTCCGTAGAGAGAGTGTTGTAGTGAATTCACCCAATTTGGCCAAACATGTTATAATGTTCGGGTTGTATAATGAATTTCTCCAGTCAGTGGCTGAACTAACGAAGTGCATCATCCTGTTTAAATTTACATACGATATTAATTATGCGTTATTATAATATGCTACATTGACATTATATTATCTTACTAAAGCGTTATCTTATCTTACTTAAGCGCCACCTTAGCTTACATAGTTATATTGGTATAAAATCATTGAATTCTAATCTTGCTTAGTAATATTGGCAAACGAATCATAAATTTTCCATTTAATTTTTGTATTAAATAACGCAATCGTTTCTAATATTTCTCAGTTATATTGACGACAAAACCAAACTTTTCCTGTTTTATGGTCAGATTTGTTTCTCAGTGTTATATTCGCCACCTCGTATCGTCAACAAAGAAATATTTACACTTAGTAATATGTAGCCAAATACCTTGAAGTCATACACTTCGAGTAATCAGTTAGGCTGTTTTTGAATAAGAACGTCATCGGCGGTATGGCAGGCAAATGCTCGTCAGACTCAGTCACTGACTCGAGATTCTCCTCCTTCCTTTCCACCTCCCCCTCATTCCCTCAAGTCATCTTCCCTCTTCCTACCTTTCCCTCACTCCCTTAGGTCATACTCCCTAACCCTTCCTCTCCTTCACTCCCTTAGGTTATCTTCCGCCTCTCTTCTTCTCCCTTACTCCCTTCCTCTCCTATTTTCTCCACTCCTCTCCCTTATTCTTTTCCTAAACCTTCCCTCATTCATGTTTACTCTGCTCTTGTTATTTTTCCTCCCTAACCTTCCCTGTTCGGTCCTCTCTCTCCTCTGCATCCATCTGTTTCTTACTCTCCTTCTCTCATCCCCCACTCTTAAATTAAACCACTATTCTCTCAGCTCCGTCTCTCTCCCAATAATATTTTCTCTGCCTCTTCCTCAGCCTTTATTTCCCCTTTATTAAATCATCCTAACCCTTCCTCCCTCTCACCCTCATCCACCTTCCCTCCATTCTCACCATCCTTCGCCCTCCCTCTCTCCTAGACCTTTGTCAACCCCATATTAAACTTTTCTCATTTTCTCTTAGTCTCTAGCTTCTCTTATCCCCTCCTCCCACTTCTTCTCCATCCTCCTCTATGCCGCCTTTCTTTTCCTCCCTCCATTCCCTTCCTTCCCTCCTTCCCTCCTTCTTCTTTCTCCTCACATCTCCTGGCACTCTCCTCCCTTTCCTAAGTCCTAAAGACTATTTTGAGTTGCTAGTTTCTTTTATATTTTCTCCCGCCACTTCCCTCCCACCTCCCTCCCTCCAACCCCATTCTCCTCTCCTCCACCATACTACACTTCACCCTTCATTCTTCTCAACTCCTTCAGACCCTCATATCTCATCCTAACCTTTTCCATATTCCTTTAATCACACCCTCCCTCCTCCACACCTCCTTCTCTTCTTGCCTTTTTCCTTCCCTCCTTCTACACCTCTCTCCTATACCCTCACACCTCACCCGACTTTCTTCCCTTACACCGCTATATCTAACTCTCCCTTACCCATTTCCTTATTTCGCTCCCTCCATCCTAATCCTCCCTCCCTCCCTCCTTTTTCCTTTCTCCAACACCCTTCACACGTTACTCACCCTCCTTTCCTCCCGCATACTCCCCACACCTCCTCTTCCATCTCCAGACCCCCCTCCTCCGTCCTCCCTCCACCCTTCCTCCACACCTCCCACCTTTTCTTCATACCTCCCTCCAAAAGATTTTCCCCTACCATGACTCCTTTCTTCTCCACACCCTCACACCTCACCCACCCTCCACCCTCCATTCCCACACCTCCTTCTATCCATCCCTTCCTCCACACCTGCCTCCCTCCTTTTCATCACATATACCCCCCTCCTCCACAGCTCCTCCCATGCTCCCTCACCTAACCACGACTCTGTCTTCCCTCCACACCCCACACCTCACCTTCATTACCCCCCCCCTCCTTTCACTACCTCCATCCCTCCCTTCTTCCTTCCATACTTCACCTTCTCTCTTCCCACACCTCCCTCCCCCACACCGCACCCTCTCTTCTACTACCTCCATCCCTCCCTTCCACACCTCCTTCCCTCCCTCCTTTCCTCCCTCCTTCCTCCCTCCTTTCCTCCCTCCCCCTTCCACTCACTTCCACCCTCCCCCACTCCCCCTCCCTCCCTCCCTCCCCCTTCCTTCATCCCTCCACACCTCACCCTCCTTCTGCCATTACCTCTATCCCTCTTCCCACACCTCTCTCCCTCCCTCCCTCCTCCCTCCAACCCTCCCCTCAACCACCCTCTTCCACAACCTCCTCCCTCCCTCCTTCACTTCTCATCCACCCACTTCCACTAACTACATCCCTCCCTCCCTCCACACCTCATCCACCCACTTCCACTACCTCCACCCTCCCTTCCTATACATCCCTCTCTCCCTCCCTCCCTCCCTCCTCCCTCCATACCTCTCACCAGATTCCCTCACCCTACCATGACTCCTGTCTTCTCCTCCACACCCCAGACGATCGACACTCAGGAAACTTGAACAAAACCTACATGCCAGGTCGAGCGTCAGGCGACCTATCCCGTCTTATGCCTCTTGTAATCCTTCTTCAAGAATGACGGTGAGCAAGTTCCTGATGGTGAACCTGGCACTGGCTGACCTCTGCATGGGGGTCTATCTCCTCATTATCGCAGCCATGGATCTACACACCATAGGAGTTTACTTCAATCACGCTATAGACTGGCAGAACGGTAAGTCTGGTGGGTGGGGGGGAGGAAGGAGGAAGGAGGAAGGAGGGAAGGAGGATGAGGGAGGGAAGGATGGGGAATGGAAGGAAGCGGGAGGGAAGGAGGGAGGAGGGATATAGACTGGCAGAATGGTAAGTATGGTGTATTGGGAAGAGGGAGGTGAAGGAAGTAGGAGGGAGGAGGAGGAGGAATAAAGCAGCATGAATGGTGAGTATGATAGATAGGTTTTTTAGTTTAACAAATTTATTGGCAGAGCTTGTAGTACAGTTTGCCTATTCTGAGTAATTCAGTCAGGTCTTGACACTGAGGTGGTATCACTTCACTGTCACGCAGGAGAGAGAGAGAGAGAGAGAGAGAGAGAGAGAGAGAGAGAGCACGTGCCGATAAAAAGAAACATAAAATAAAGACAGAATAACCGATATACAGACGAAAAGCAATACATACATACAGACAAGCATTAGTATACACAGACAAACAAACAGACATATCCACAGATTCAGACATTTATAACCACCTATCGTTCCTCCAACTTGAACCTACACCATTTAGGTATTTCTCATGTCCCGACCCACAACAAGTTCCAGACTTGCCTCCAACACTGCCGTCACTCCCTCGGGAATTTCCTGTTTTCTCCCTCTTGTTTCACATATTTCGCACAGCTGCCGTGCCATGCTAAAAACACGTCTCTTTAAAAAAACCAATCTCTGTATTGTCCCTCCTCCGTGCTTAAGTGTGATTGAGGGGGATATTTTAAACTAAGAGGTGATGGCATATGGCATTAATTTTAAACTACTCTTAACCTTCAGGTTGATCTCCATTTTCAGGTTGACTATTCATATCTGACCTTTTGACCACGATCTCTAAACCTTAACTGTAACCACGTGACACACACACACACACACACACACACCAGGCAATTGCAATAAATCTCATTCCTTCCTGAAGACGAGGCCATGCTAACCTCACCACAGTAACAGGTCACCAGAAGCACGCTGCAGTAAGAGATTTGCCATCCTCCTCACGTCTTCACTTCCCCCAAGCAGTTTGCGCTGAGACTTTTGAATTATGTTTCACCTGTAATTTGAGCAACCGCAGGTGATGGGACAATTGGTGTATTAGTCGAGGTGGGGAATGTAGTTGGTGTGTTTGGCGGGTGTGTGTGTGTGGTGGTCCAGAGGGTAGGGGTATAATAATAAAAATAGTTAACGGTTTATTGAAGACATGAAAATATACAGTTACATAATTGGGGAAATGGGTTTCGAATTACAAATAATATACAAATAACATAAGTGATATAAATAAGATATATAATAACTAGATGGGGAGCAGGACTAAGGGCATTTCAACATAGTGACATATGCATTTATACACTGGTTTATAACAAGTTATTGATAATTTTTACAATGGTTGGGAATGGGCTGTTCTTATAGTGATCAGGTTACCTATTGTGTGTGTGTGTGTGTGTGTGTATGTGTGTTTGTGTGTGTGTATGCAGGATAGCGATAAGCTTACAAACAAACACGCCTGCATGTCCCCTCACACGCAAATACACACACACATTCTCTCTTTTCCCTTCAGGACCAGGATGTAAGGTGGCTGGATTTCTGACAGTATTTGCCTCCGGGTGTCTATCTTTACACTCACGGTGATCACCTCTGAGCGCTGGTACGCCATCACCTACGCTATTCATCTAAACAAGCGACTTAAGCTCTCCATGGCTGTCAAGATTATGGTAGTGGGCTGGACCTACTCTATTAGTATGGCTGCCTTACCTCTGCTGGGCATCTCAAGCTACAGCAAAACAAGGTAAGTGAATGAGTATCATGTTTGTATTTTTTTTTTTTGGGGGGTCAGGCCTTTGTAATGATTTAGGTTGTGCTGTGGTTATTTTGATGAGAAAGAGGTAAATTCGTAGTAGTAATAATTATAATTATTATCATTATTATTATTATTATTATTATTATTATTATTATTATTATTATTATTATTATTATTATTATTATTAATATTATCATTATTATTATTATTATTATTATTATTATATC